CCACACACATGCCTGGTGCCTTTGGAGGTCAGAAGAGGGCATCGGATCCTCTGGAACTAGAGTGACAGATGGGTGTGAGCCACCATGTGGGTGCTGGGAATCAAATCCAGGCCCTCTTAACCACTGAGCCATCTCCCCGCTCCCCAGCACTCCGTTTCTCTTAAAGAGGCAACTCCTTTTCTCTCTCTGTCTTGGAGTAATAATAACATGCACATTTGACCATTTTTCATGGTCCAGATCCCAATCCACTTAACAAAAGGACCAAACTCTCTAACTAGCAAGTAAGCCCTGGGTCTCCTCCTTCGCCTCAGTGTCATCCCCCGTGGCTCATCCTCTGCAGTCACGCTGCTCATAGCAGCTCTGTGTCTCCCTAAACCTGGAAGATGCTTTCCCTCTTCACCTACTTAATGCCCATCCTGCCTTGCATCTCCACTTGGCCATTACCATTTCAGCCTTCCAATCCGGTGACTGGGGAAGTCCTCTCATTTTATACTCTGAGGGTATAAATCTTATCTCTGTGACAAAATAAATACCTGACAGAGCAACTTATGGAAGGAAGTGCTTTCTCAGCTCTTCGCAGGACAGGCAGGGCAGCCATGGTAGCAGAGGCTTGGGGCAGCTGGTCACACTGAGGTCACAGTCAGGATGCAGAGAACGGAGAAGGCTGGTGCTCAGCTTGTTTTTCTCGTCTGTCTAGACTGAGATCCCAGACCATGGAATGGCACTGTCCATACATAGCACAGGTCTTCCTACGTCCGTTAACCTAACTTAGATAACTCTCATCCATATGCCCAGAGCTCTCTCTTGAATGGTTCTGAACCTTGTAACTTGACAGTCCATATTGACCATCACACTAGATGTGCTCTGTGCTCTGCTGTACATCACTTACCTTACCAGCCACAGATTCATACTCTTCCCTCCATTTGAATTGACTGTACCTCTGTAATGGACTGAACTCCATGGGAACAGAGGCCAAATCATTCTTTCCCTTTACTGACACAGTAGTTTTGCACTATGCTAAATGGGAAATAACGAATGAATACGTGAATGAGTAGAATGGTGAGAAAGCTCAAGGCCAAAAACCCTTCTGGGGAATAGTTTACTGCCCTTGCATTAATTAGTAACTCACCTTTCTCATGGGCTAGCCTGACCTCCAGAGCTAAAGGTAGACAGGAAGCTTCAGGTGACGAAGTCTGTCTGGCCTCCTGTCTGTGTGCCAGACACGTCTGCTTTCCCCTCCTTCTTGAATCAGGGTAAGGATGAACCTCCTGGAGCTCTGTTCTGGTTTTTCTGGCTGATGACACATTCTTTACTAGGTTAGAGCAGAGGTTCTGTAGACCTGGGCCAGTCTCCGACAGAGTCCACACTGGGACATGGCGAAATGAGAACGGGGACAACATGGGGACTTTTTACAAAGCTAAATTAATTCTGAGATTGCCTGTCCTACATTCCTTTTTTTCCGTGTCAGCCTGCCCTTTCTTTTATGAAGCCAGGGTGACAGGAATTGATGATTTTGTGTCCTTGCTTGTCAGAATCGCCTACTTAATTCTCTTTTGAAATTTGCTAGCTGTGGAAAGTGACTGAGCTGGGGTGAGAATACATATCTGCTAGTTTGCCAGATACCTAACTCCCTCTGCTCTGCAGGCCCCTGGAGAGGATTCTACACAAGGGAGATGCAAGAACTGACTGTAAATTATTGATGGGCTGCCATGAAGAAGAGAGACATGCATGCTCTTGTTACAACCAGTGAGGCAGTCTCAGACAGGAACATTTCACCTGTGACAGATGAACATGGTGGCTCTAATCCCTGCCCTAGTGAGGCTGAAGTAGGTGAATCTCTGAGTTCCAGGCCAGCCTGGCCTACAGAGTGAAACCCTGTCTCAAAACAAACAAACAAAACCTTACAAAAAAAAATCAACTAATTTATACTAAGTTTTTGACAGACGAGTGGTCAGGAGTTGCATGGGCCTGTCAGTTCTTAGACATTACTCAGACTTGTGGGGACTGACTAAAGATCTAGGCCTCAGAGTCAGTCAGACCTATATTTTAACACCAGTTTCACAACTTATTATGTGTGTGATCCAGAGCAAATAGATTTTCTGCAACTTAAAATGGGAGATAGAATCCGGGCAGTGGTGGTGCACACCTTTAATCCCAGCACTTGGCAGGCAGAGGCAAGCAGATCTCAGTAAGTTTGAGACCAGCCTGGTCTACAGACCAGAGCCAGTTCCAAGGAAGCAAAGGCTGTTACAAAGAGAAACCCTGCCTCAAAAAAAAAAAAAAAAAAAAAAAAAAAAAAAAAAAAAAAAAAAAGGGGAGGGGGGAATTCCAGCACTTCCTAGTCGGACACAGGTGGATCTCTGTGAGTTTGAGGCCATCCTGGTCTATAGAGCTAGTTCCAGGACAGCCAAGGCTGCACAGAGGAACCTTGTCTCAAAAAACATAATAATAACAATGCTAAAAATGGGAGGTAGAGGCTAGAGAAATGGATGAGCAATTAAGAGCACTGGCTGCTCTTCCAGGGGACATGAGTTTCATTCTCAGCATCCACGGTTTATAACTGTTTGTCACTCCAGTCCCAGGAGATCTGAAGCCCTCCTCTGGGCTCCTCAGGAACCAGTTTTACATACTGTACACAGATCTAGATGCAGGCAAAATAACCACCCACATAAAAAAAGTAAGTAACTTAATTTAAAAAAAAAAATGAAGGAAAAGAAAAAGGGAGACATTGTAGCATGAATAATAAAAATGCAAAGACAGATTTTGGGGTTCAAGCTTAAGATCAGCAAAGCGAAGCAAAGCAGCCATCCACTAGAGAGTTCTTACCTCTACCAATGCTCAGACTGAAGGAGCGAGCCACCGAACCTCAGATTGCATCTTCAAACTGCACTGCTCCTCGCTCTGCCTAGACTGCAATGCTGTCTTCAATGTGGTTTGAGACTAATTCCCAAGACTCCATACTGAATGCCCTGCTCCTAGCTTACATGCCTCTCCAGTGCTGGGATTAAAGTGGTGAGCTCTGTTACTCTTTTAGACTGATTCACTCTCTTGTAGCCCTGGGCGGCCTTGAACTCACAGAGATCCATCTGCCTCTGTCTCCTGAGTTCTGGGATTAAAGGTGTGCATTCTGATCTCCAGTGGCTTTATTAGATCATACACAATATATCACAAGACATGGTGCCAGGAGAACCCATCATAGGACAAATTAACCTGGCCACAGAGGCCAGGAAAACACCTTAAAGAAGTAACTAACCACTGAACTGAGGGCTGAAGGACAAGTAGGCTTAGCTAGTTGTGGTGGTGAAGACCATGCACAAGGGCAGGTTGAAGCTGGGGGAGCAGGAGTAGGGGAGGAACGCATCTCAGATAGGCTAAAGATTTTCACTTTTGTCTTCAGGAGTAAGCAGCAGCAGCTATGATCAGATCTGCAGTTTGAAGATTTTTCTGGACTGTGGTTATAGGAGATGGCAGTTGAAGGCAGGCTGTGCAAGCATAAAAGGCTGAAGCCTGAAGGAAGTCCGTGTCTAGTTGTTCATGAAATACAGGCTGGGACCCTGGGTTAGTGAAGCAGCGGGGGAAAGATGAATGCATGGTCTTAAGTTAAGGACCACTTAGGAGATAAAATGGTCCTGACTGAGCAAAGGCATTGCAGGAAGGCTGAGGGTGAGAGAGTTGCCGAGGATGATACCCAGGTTTCTGGATAGAACTGTTGCCAGGCAACAGAGTAAAAGCCAGAAGGGAGTGGGCAAAGCCTGGGGCATGCTTTGCAGTTGTTATTAAGTCAGTGTTTGAAAAATGAAAGGTGTTAGGATGGGTAGCACCCTGGTTGCTTACCAAGGAGAAAGAAAGGCCTCCTTACGAAGGTTGTGTGATGCAGGCAAACAGGACCTAGGGCTTAGGTCATGACTTGGGTCATTCAAGCAAGCTGTGTGACTTTCAGAGGCAGCTTCACCACTCTGGGCATGCACTCTAGAATGAATGACCCACTTAGCCTGGAAACTTAGCAGCACAATAGACCACCCCCCCCCAGCCTTGTTTGTGTCCACTGTCACTCTTTATGGGACTGTTCCTTGGGAAGCTGTTTCTTATAGGTTCATTTTGACTAGAGCATAAAGGTGAAAAGGCTTTACGTCTAGAATGTGACCACAGGAGCCCCTTTGCTCTCTCTGCTAATCTTACAGAGTGAGATGACATCTGGATCAGACCCTTGTCTCTGTCCTCCCTTACCCCCTGCCCGAGGGAGAGAGGCTGGCTGAACAGTTTGCTCAAAGACACAATGCTAGAGGACAAAAGAGCAGCCTTTGGGAATGAGTCCAATGTTCCTTTTCTTACTTGGGGCTGGGGATCTTTCTGTAGCCCACACAGCCTCTTCCTGGGACAGATGGAGCTGGAAAGAACTGTGGGGACAAGCTAAGGCCACAGACGCAGGTGGTGCTGAGCATCTGGGGTGAGGGGAAGCAACCAGGGGATTGCCCTGCTAAACTGGGGTCATTTCTGACTCTTGGAAGATACCATGGACCCTGCTACGTTCCTGAATGTCTTTCTGGAAATGCAAGGTGAACTTTGGGGAAAAGGGGGAGGTGGATGCTTAAAGCCCAGCCTGTTCCCCTTCCCCGCCCCTGCAAATGAGACGTGAAAACAGGGTTTGAACCTGCAGTGAGGTTTCCATGGTGGCTCCACTCTGCCGCCCTTCCCATTGGCTAAGACATCCTGCTCTGGCTTTAACACAAGCTCAGATATGGGTCTCTTTCCTGATTGGCCGGCTTGTGCTGCAGCGCCATGGCAACAGAGACAGAAGGACCAGTCTCTGCTGAAACTTGAGTCACCATCTACCTGGGGTGGGCTAAGATCCATGGGGCTGCTTACAGGGTGTGGAAGGGGGGGACAGGTACCCAAGCCAGTTCATAGTCAAGCATTACACTTCCCACACTGATTGCCCAGGGACTTAGGGGGCTGGTGGACTTCTCCTTCTCATGTTGTCTATTTTGTATCTTGTGGCATCCTTTTCTCCAGGACTTTTGTGTCCTGTTGAAGAAAAAGCAAACCTCTGGCAGCACCAGAAGTTAACTCATATGCTCAAATTCATAGAAACCACAAGCCAGGACTTGAGTTTATGTTGTATTGCCTGACTTAATGCTTTAAAGGACTATTGTAAAAGAATCTAGGGGTCTTTTCAGAAAAAAAAATTATAACCTTTTTTATTTGTGAAACACTGGATGCTTCTCAACAGAATGAGAGGTTGTATAGGTCGGGACTGAATGGCTCACACATATAGCCACCAGAGCTCAGAGAAGGTGGGTGACTTGTTTAGGGTCACATAGTGCCAGACTTGGAATGTCCACCCTTCTGAACACTTGTCAAGGCCACACATCCAAATCTCTGCCTTCTCCATGTCAAGTGTTCCAGGAAACTGACAGGACGGCTCTGCTAGAATGTCAAGAGATGCCTGTGCTGGGCTTTTTTATACCTGTAACCTCAGTGCTTAGGAAGCTGAGGCAGGAAAGCTGCCAAGTGTTTGAGGCCAACCTGGGCTCCACAGTGAACTCCTTTCTCTCCCCCCCCCCATCTCTCTCTTCTTCTCTTCAAGATAGGGTTTCTTTTTGTAGCCCTGGCTGTCCTGGAACTGTGTAGACCAGGCTGGCCTTGAACTCAGAGATCCATTTGCCTCTGCCTCCCAAGTGCTGAGATTAAAGATGTGCATCACCACTGTCTAGCTACAAAGAGAATTCCAGAACAATTTGAGCTACAGTATAAGGCCCTGTCTTAAAAATAAATAATAAGTAAAGCCAAAAGGTATAATTAAGTACTCTGGAGCAAGGAATTTCACTCAGTGTTAGAGCTATGTTTAAATCCCTAGATTTGTTCCTGGTATAATTTTTTGAGACAGGGTTTCTCTGTGTGGTACTGGCTGACCTAGAACTTGCTCTGTATACCAACCAGGCTGGCTTCAAACTTGGATTTCCACACTATCTCAGTGATATGCCTATCTCTGCCTGGGATGAAAGGTATGAGCCACCATACCTGGTGTATCATGTTTTTAAAAAGAGTGAATTAGGTACCTGAACCTAGAGTCAGTCCTATTAGACCTTAGTCCCTCCCACTCCTAAATATGGCTCTGGTGTCCCAAAGGGCCCATGTTTAACTGCAAAACCTAATTGTTCCTCCAGTCAGTTTAATTGTGTAGCTGAAGTGATGTATGCTGCGTGGGTTGACCTCACTGAATGCTCATCCATAATCGCAGGGCTTCACAGTCTGTCCAGTCTCAGCTGCAGAGACCGCAGCCTGGAAAGGGTTAAGTAGCAAGCCCAGGATCACAGAGTCTTGAGATTTATTTTATGTTGTGAGTTAATCTGTCTGCTTGTATATGTGTGTACTGTGTGTGCTTGCTGCCTTCGGAGACAGAGAGAGGGCGTCACATTCCCTGGAAATGGAGTTCCATTCCTCTCCAATCATCTATGTGGGTGCTGGGAACTGAGCCCTGGGTTCTTCTGCAAAAGCAGGAAGTGCTCTTAACTGCTGAGCCATCTGCCCAGCCCTCATACAGCCTTAAACCGGAATTCCAAAAACAAGGACACTAGATGGGGCCTGGGCGTGCTCTCCCTGCTCCCGTGAAGAACAGACAGTGGCCTGTGCCTGCTCTGGGAGCTGACTCTCCTGTTTTTCTTTACCTGAAGCTGCAATTATGGATGGATTTCTTGGCACAGACTCTGAGGACTGGATTTGTGCGAAGGAATCTGAAGTAGCTGTTCTCTGAGGAGTGACTTAGCATCCCCAGCAGGAGGGCGTGGGCAGTAGAAATAAAAAGAGGAAAGAAACCTTCAGTGGCTTTCTTAGTTCAAATCTAAGCTGAAAATAAATATTCTGGAAGTCCTCTTTCTTTCCCATTCAGCTTGGGCTTCCTGAAGTCCTTGCCTTGGGAACAGAGCCCAGTTACAAGGCCCACCCTCCTGCCCTTCCCAAAGCATTGGTTTTAAAGATGACCTTGTAAAAAGTTCACACCTGCCACTCTACTCTCCTACACGGCACCCAGCAAGGTGCAGGCACAGTTTCTCTACGGCAACAGTTAGAGGCATCTTCCCTGCCCCAGATGCCAAGGCACCACCTGAGGCACTGGGGAGATGAGTGTGGGGGAACGGTCTGTGATGGCTCTGCTCTCATAAAAACTGCAGCCTAGTGGGAGGGGGGTGAGTCCCAACTGGCTCCCTAGGGATCTCGGATGGTAATGAAACATTTGGATTGGATGGGACGGCCATAGACTAGTGATAGTTGGGGTTGGAGGGACAATGAGGGGGGTACAAAATGGCCAGGAAAGGGTTCTTGAAGAGGTGGCAACAGAACCGATACCTGGGTGACAAGCAATTGTATCGCCTCTCTTTAGCCTGATCATACTCTAGGTGGCTCTTCTTCCTGTTTCTCCTGGTTATGCCTGCAGATACATTCAGCTGGAAATGCAGGAGGGCTGGAGGGATCACGAAAGCCACTTAACCTGTCTTGTAGCTAGCATTGGCTATTGGCTATAATGGGACCTTTCATCCCCTGGTGGCCTACATCAGCCTTCTGTGGCAGCCCAGGAATGGCATTCTGAGGATGAGGGCCAAAGATTGTGAGGCCTGTGGAAGCCTGGGGCCATAATGGGCAGCTTCTGCTACATTCCAGTGACAAAGTGAGTCACCAGGGTAGCTTGCAGGCTTCCAGCAGTGCCCTGGGAGGCTAGAAGAGGGTGTCAGGTTTCTTGGAGCTGCTGTTACCAGTGGCAGTGAGCCAGGCAGGAGTGCTGGGAACTGAACTCCAGTCTTCTGCAAAAACACTCTTCACCACTGAGAATCTCCAGCCCTGAGATGCCTGTTCTTGGTGCCAGGTAAAGGCCTGCACGTGAAACTCCACTGGAAATGTGGAGTGCATTTGGAAAGATTTAGGATTTTTGGTTCCTGGCTCTTAGTGGACATCCTCCATGCTTACTGGTGTTTGTTGAGGGTACCAGCTACAGAGCAGCCATGCTCAGTGGCCTGGGGTCACAGGAAGAGTCTGGGGAGAAAGTTCTTTTTTGTTTTTGGTTTTTTTGAGACAGCGTTTCTCTGTGGTTTTGAAGGCTGTCCTGGAACTAGCTGGTCTTAAACTCACAGAGATCTGCCTGCCTCTGCCTCCCGAGTGCTGGGATTAAAGGTGTGAGCCCGGCTAAGAAGGGCTTGCTAAGCTTATGGCATGAAAAGATGGCTTGCTGCCCTGGATGATGGCTGAGGAGAAAAAAAGCTAGGAAAATTCTGGGGCCCAAAGAAGGCCTGGAGGAGATGAGATTTCAACTGGGCCAGGGAGGGGCTTGTAGACACATAGATTTGGCTGAAGTAAGGCAAGCTGTTGGCAGGCAAAGTGCCAGGGGCTGTTTGTAGACATCCTACTTTTTACCAAGTAAACAAGACAGGCACAGGAAACCTCTTGGGGCACCATGGGACCCAAAGGAGATGCCAGGGCAGGAGAAGCCTGGAGGCTTCCAGGAGGAAGCAAGAATGATGATTCAGAGACCTAAAGGAGGAGTCACGTCAACCCCCAGTAGCAGAGGGAGAAACAGGAGACAGCAAGAGGGTGGCCATGGAAAGGACAATGTCTTCCAAGAGACCAGAGGGGAAGAAAAGTTTGGGATTTTCAAGTTGTCTAAAGCAGAGTCCAAATGAGGGCTGGGATGAGTTTGGGACCTACTCAAGACCACAGTCTTTTTTCCTGAAGGCACCAGACACAGAGCTGCCCAGTTTAGCAAATACAGGCTGTATTGTTCAATTTTCAGGCAAATAACAATGTTTTTTAGTATGTGTATGTATACAATTACCTGGGTCATCCCTCACTGAGGCCCCTCTATCTGAGATCAGCTGTCCTTCACCTTCTGCACCCTCTTTGGTGTTCCTCTGTCCCTGTGCAGGATCACAGAATGGTTTTAGGCATTGAGATGATACAGCCACAGACTTTAGCTAGGGAAACTGCTGGATTTGTGGGGAAATGCACCAGAAAGAGACCAGGCGGAGGTGGTGGTGGCAGGTGAGGTTTCTGCTAAGGTCCTGGTCCTCAAAGGGGATGAATGCCATTGTGCCCGTGAAGTCATCTGCCTTTCCCACCAGGCAGGTGGCCTTGAATAAACCTCTCGGCTGGCAAAGTCCTGGGGACTGCTGGTCTGCATGTGAACATCTTGAACTTCAGCATCCTCATCTGTTCAACAGATGATGGGGGTACGTCCATTCTGGGCTGTGCCATCCCCTAACCCTCTCCTAGTGTGGGACATGACGATGAAGACATTTGGATCCCTACTCCTTTTGCTCCTGTCCCTTGCTGCTTTCCCTGGCCATGGAATCCAGGAAGAGCCCTTCACATTTTTCTTGGAAGAAGAGGTTCCACATATGTGGAGGGCTACTATGTGCTAGCAAATTCTCTTCATTCCTTGCCTCTACTGGTACAGCAGCCCTGAATTTATTTGCTCCATTCTTCAGATAGCAAACTGAGGCTCTTGATGGAATAGCTGTGCAGGGTGGTCTGGCTGGCGCCAGTGCTCTACCCTCCCATTCTCTCCAGGAAACTTCCACCCAGGAACCCCTAATCCCCCATTTATTTAGGACTTGGGCTCAGTCAGCAGTCTCGTTGTCCCAGTGCAGGCCACATGCTGCCCTGGCTCTTTCAGAGTTAAGCCAGGGACTAAAAAGGGCTGCCACAATGCTCACTTGCCAGGCTGTATGGCTTAGGAGGCCCTTTCCCATCTGTGCCCTTCCCATGGCTCCACAGAGCCGGGACATGGCCCCTTACAGCTCTTCTTGCCTGCAGCTCTGCTGCAGTCAGGCCGCATTAAATATTAACGGGGCAGCTCCTGGCACCACCGTGACGTCAATTACTGCTTGGTGAGGACTGCGGCTGCCTTCCCAAGGTGAAGCAGTGACCGGAATTCAGAGAGCTTCAGTGGTGTCCCAGCAGGCCGGCTGTCGGGACTTGGAGAAGATACTGCTAATGTAAGGCATGGCAGAGGTCCAAAGCTTTCTCTGCTGCCCCTCCCATAGCATTCTGCTCCCGGCATGATGAATTCCATCATCTGGCAAGTATTTGCTGAGCACCTGCTATCTGCCCAACACGGCACTCTGCTCCAGGGATGCATCTGTAGCATGACAATGGCTTTGTGTCATGGCACTACCCTTGCGATAAAGAAAAGAGAGAAAGCCCCATTGTAGGACAAGACAGGTACCCACTCTGGCCTGACACCAAAGGATCCTTGCAGAGGCAGCTGGTTTAGGCTGAAACCAGAGAAAGGAAAAGGTCTGCGTTAGGTAGGAAAAGAGGAGGGGTAAGGCGGAGGGGACTGACTGCAGCTCAGAGCCTGGTTCCAACCCTTTCTGGCCATTTATCTGTAAATTGGGTTTTCACCTCAGGGTTGCTGTGAAGGATAAACAGAAGCGACCGCTAGTGATGACACAGGCCTGCCTGCGGGGAAGGTAGAAAGTGAGAGCACAGGGCAGCTGCTAGCGTAGCTCCCAGGCCTGACCTGTTTATGCTCATCTGTCGCGGTAGCCTGAGGCAGGGAGACCAGATTCTGCTACACAGTGAGATCCTATCTCAAAAACAACAGCCCCCACACCTAAAAGAAGACGGCTCCTGGCCATTGTCTAATCTCATCACCCTCCTAGGAACTCTTACCCCCATTTTCGGAGCAGACAAACAGGCTCAGAGAGGAGCCCTGACAGGACAGGGCCACACTGGGGATTCACTGGACACAGGACTTCAGGCTGGAACTTAGGCAACCTGGTAAAGAGTCCAACCTAAAGTCCCAACAAGTAGTGATAGTGAAAAGCAGAGAAAACAAAGTAATTCAGTGCGACCACATTGGGAAGAGGAACAAATAATGAGGTCTAGAGACACCTCCCTGCCTCTGGTAAAGTCCCGGGGGCCTGACACGAGGCTGACGTTTAAACATCAGCCCTGCGTAGGGCGTGGCCCTGTCATCCTCGTCTGGGCTCCGGTCTCTTCTGGGTGGTGGTCTGAGTTGAGAACGCTGTGTGACTACTTCCTGGAGACACTCTTCCTCTGGCTGGCACCAGGCATTACTAGACTTCCTCCACCTTTTCCTTTCTCTGAGAGACTCTCCTGAGACTCTTGGGCAAAGTCTAATTTCTCAGAGACTATTGCTTTTCATAATCTGGTAGTCAAAGGGAGAAGCTGCCAGTATTTGTCTGTAAGAATATCTTAACTTTGAGGCTGGAGAGATGGCTCAGTGTTAAGACGGCTTGCTACTCCTGCAGAGGACCGAAGTGTGTACGTACGGTTTCTAATACCCAAGGGATCTGATGCCTCTGGCCTCTTTGTGCAACAGAACTCGTGTGTGTGTGTGTGTGTGTGTGTGTCTATGAAAACACACATACAAAATTAAAAATAAATACATCTTTTTTTTGCATCTTATATGGTGGTATAGATTTTTTTTTTGTTTGTTTTTTGTTTTTTGTTTTTTCAGGACAGGGTTTCTCTGTCCTGGAACTGACTCTATAGACAAGGCTGGCCTGGAACTCACAGAGATCCGCCTGCCTCTGCCTCTCCCGGGTGCTGGGACTAAAGGCGTGTGACACTACTGCCCGGTTTGGTGGTGGTGTACACTTTTAACTCCAGCACTCCGGAGGCAGAGGAAGTGGATCTCTATGAGTTTGATTCCAACCTGGTTTACACAGCAAGTTCCAAACCAGTATATATAGATAACATAGTGAGACAAACACACACAAAACAAAACTCCCCAAAACAAGACAAAAAGATGAGGAACACGTTTGAAAGGGGGAAATGGGATAAGAATAATGCTATAAAGTTACTGGTGGCGGCGGTGGTGTCAGGGTACAGAGCCAAGACCAATAACTGCAGAAGTGGCTATCATTTCCGTATCTTGGAATAAGATAGCAAATGTCTTCAATATTTTTTAATGATCACGATTTTGTAAATGCTCTGACCTTCCTGGCTCAGTCATTTCATAAAATGTCAGGTACTCATAGCGCTGCCACACTGTCCTGTAGGAGTCACCCACTCCTTCCCTCAGTGGTGACAGCCCAAGTCTACCAAGGACAGTGCCATCATAGCATGCCCATTTCGCATGAGAGGAGGCTGAAGTAGAGAGACGTGCAGGGATCTGTCTAGGTTTCCTTACCTTCTGGGGAAGAGCTGAGATGGGAAGTGAGGTCCAGTAACTAACTCTCTGGTACTGTTAGAGCCACTGAAGCTGAAGTTCAGCCTGGGAGCCCTGGTCCCCTCCTCAGCTCCCTCCTAGCTCATTTAGTCTTATCTTATTCCTCCTTTCTCCCTCTCTTTTATCTTCAACTCAACTGCCAACTAGTCAGGTAGCTGTCAATAAAATATCTTCACTATTTCTCCACTGGGGTGTGTGTGTGCAGGCAGTGGCCCTGGCCTCTTATAAAGAGGGCCCCAGTGTGGGATTCTGTAACAAAGAGAAGGTACAAATTGCATTCAATTCTGCATTCGTAGAGCAGTCCCTGATTCCAGGACTCCCACCCTACCCAGCATCTGAGGGGCTCCGAGGACAGATGGAAACAAGCTGTATTCTCAGGTATTTTCATCCTCCCAGGGAAATGGCAACTTGCTAAGGAAGTAGGAAGCCGGAGTTTGAAATGACAGGGAACATGAATTCTGTGGTCAGAAAGATGGAGGCTCAAATGCTAACTCTTCTACTAACTGCAGGCCTGGGGTAACCTCTCTGAGCTTCAGTTTCTCTATCTGTTCAATGGGTATAAGTGAAATAGATGGATGAAGAACAGATCGATCAAATGCTACAGTGAGTGTTGTAACACAGTTCCTGATACATGCTAACTAATTGGCTGGTAAACCCCAGCCTTATGGATGACACTTTACACAGAGAGCAGAGTCATGCTGGAAATGGTGGAAATTGAAAGAATTATTTTTGCAATAGTGTCTGTCATACAAGCTTGATGACCTGCGTCTGATCCCTGGAACTAACAGTAAAAGCAGAGAATTTGTTCATGAAAAGTTGTCCTGTAACTTCCACACACATGTATGTAATTAAATGATGAAAGGAGGCAAAGAAGAGTTAAAAAAAAAAAAAAAGGGGGGGTGGGGACAGGTCTCACAATGTAGCACAGGTTGGCCTCAAAACTGTCTCAAGTGCTGTGATGACAGCAGTTTATAGTCTGCGCTGCCACGCCTGCTAAGAGAGTATTTCTTGAAAAGATTGATACATGATGTATACATGTATATGTATGTCTCAATGTGGGTATGTGCACTTGAACTCAGGGGTCTGAGAAGGCATCAGACACCCTGGACCTGGAGCTACCCGATGTTGGGGCTGGGAACCAAACTCAGGTCCTCTCCAAGTGCTCTTAACTGCTGAGCCAGCTTCCTGTAGATTATCTCTTGTTGGGGAAACAGGTCAGGCTCTTTGCAGAAGGTAGGATTTGCTGGATATGTATCATGGGGGTCATGCCTTTAACCCTTACACCTGGGAGGCAAAGGCAGGCTGACCACAGATTTGAAAGTTTAAGGTCAGCCTGGGCTATGTACAGAGAACTCGTCTAAAAAAGGGGAGGGGCACTAAAGAAACAGAAGAGCTCCGAGGGAAAGATAAGGACATTTTAGTGGGTAGAAATTTGTGGGCAGAGTCTGGGAACATGGTGTGCCCAAGATGTCCAGGGAGTGAGTAATGAGTTTTAAAAGCTGCTTCAGGCTCATGTTATAAAGAGCTAGGTGGAAACACTGCTATCTTAGTAGGGAAGGAGCCTTCCCATAAGCCCTATGCTACAGAGCGACCTCCCACTCCCACCCCTGGGCTCACCTTCTCCTGTGGCCTTGGCCCTCCCAGATCGCTCTGTTTCCTGAGTTAGGGCCAGTCCACTGCCATCGTCTGGAAGAAGCCAGAAGGCTGTAACAATCTGTTTGCCTCCTACTAACATCCTGGGGAGGAAAAGATGTTTTTTTAGCACAGTTGCCTGGCAGGGAACCTTGGCAAAAACTCAGTGACCCTCTCTCTCCTTTACTTCCCAGGGAACCATTTAAGGAGTACTTGACAGTCACATTCTCTGCCTGATGCTCAGAGGACTCCCAGGGCAGGGCCAGCAGCGCAAACCGTGCTGAAGTCTGGAGCCCGGCTACTGTGCTTTGCTGAATCAGGCAGGCCGCTTGGCCTCCTTTCCTTTACGTTAGAATGGGAAGAATATTGACCTCACTGTAGCTAAACGGGAGTGTACTGGCAAGCTGCTGCCCCAGGCATGGCCTGCTAAGGAAGGGGAATTTGTTTCCTTGTCGAATTGATCTGGTCTCACCCCTTTATTATTTAGCTATTTGTTTATTTTTGAGATAGAATATCCCTTACTATTTATAGCTATGGCTGTCCTGGAACTCAATATGAAGGTCCACCTGCCTCTTCCTCAAGAGCTCTGGGATTAAAGCTTTATGCCACCACGCTCTAGCTTTATTCATTTATTACTTACTTATTTGGAGTGCTGGGAGAGTCTTGCACATGCTTGTCAGGTGTTCTGCCACAAAATTACAATGCCAGCCCCACGCCTGTCTTTAGGAGCAGCCCAGGTTTCACCTCTTGAACCGTCAGTGCTGTTTGATTTTCCAATACCCTAGACTCTCAGAGCTAAGAAACCAAAGAACACTGCCATCATGTCACAGATAAGACATCCTAGGGTCAAAGGCAAAGTCTCCCCAGACCCTGTCCCTAGCTCTATTCTCAGCTGGAGACAGCCTCTCCTACCTGGGCCAAACCCATAGGAACCATACAGAAGCTGGAGGCAATTATCCAGGAGTTTCCAATGAAAGGACCTAGAAAATTCTGACCAAGAAACTGAAGTTTGATGAGAGTAATAAAATCCTAATATTTGGGTGGAAACAGGAAGATCAGATGTTTGAGGCTATCTAGAACCTGTCTCAAAAGAATAAAATAAAATAAACACAAGTTCAAGGTAGACAAGATTGCAATGTTAGCCAGCACATGGGAGGCTGAGCCAGAAAAGTCAGGAATTGGAGTTTGAGGCTAGCCTAGACTGCATAGCAAGACCCTACCTCAAAACAAAAGACAACTTGTACAGAACTGACGCAAAAGCCCCTTCCCCCTCCTCCCCTCACCAGAGTCCAGCTCTGAGCATGAGTCCCAGGGAGATGGGGGCTGTGAACTGAGTGCCAGTAGTTTGCAGCAGCAGCTTACAGGCGGCAGCTCCCAGGACATTTTAGCACCTGTAAATTCGAAAAGCTGCTGTAGGTGCCACACTGCTTTCAAGTCAGGCTCTCAAAGGGGCCGGCTCAGGATGGTTGTGAACCATGTGGCTCAGCCCCAGGTTGGTGGCAGAAAGCTGGTGGGGGAAATTAAATGAGGAATATCTAACTCTTCTGTGTCTCAGCTTCCTTCTATATGAGAGTGACATGCTTTCTCTAAGCAGACACTGTGTGTGGGACAATATCTCAAGCCCAGAAGAGAGTAAGGGATTGATAAGCAGGAGCTGTGGTTGATGCTCTACTGACAGTGGTAATCATCATTGGCTGAGGAATCAGAAAAGTCACCCTGCATCAGGGTGTGGCAAGGAGTCCTGTCTTGGTGACACTAAGCACAAGATGGTAACCATGCCAACAGTGTGACTGCCACCTCTCTGGAACAATACCAGGTCTTTTCTGTAATATGTCCCTTGGTGTCCACACATCTCAGGCAGTTCAGAATGTACCAGAGTATCTGATATGGGGAGAGGACCGAACAAACCGAGCCATGCCTTTTGTGGTCACTCTTCACTAGACTCTGGGTGGAAGGTTCTGGGAATGCTTTGGGAATCCAGCCATGCAGAGGAGCAGTCACTAGCACTGTGCTCAGAACTGCGCACAGCAAGGGACCAGCCACAGAGCTGAAGGGTTGGTGCTTATCCTATGGTGTTGCCATAGAGATATTACACAGTTGCCTGGTGATCTCTGTGATGGCCTTAAGAAACACTTTGTGAAGTCAGATATGGTGGCACATGCCTATCAACCCAGACAGGAGGATTGTCATGAGTTTGAGAATTGCCTGGCCTATGGATTGAGACCCTATTTTTATTTTTTATTTTATTTTGATTTAGAGATAGGGCTTCTCTGCATATACCTGGCTGTCCTGGAACTCTCTCTGTAGACCAGGCTAGCCTCAAGCTGAGTGCTGAGATTAACCATCCCCTGGCTCTTTTCTTTCTTTTTTTAAAAGCTGGAGTGTGGTGGTGCTTACCTTTAAACCCAGCACTCAAGAGGCAGAAGCTAACGACCTGAGTTTGAGGCCAATCTGGTTTACATAGCAAATTCCAAGACAGCCAGGGCTACACAGTGAGACCCAATTTAAGAGTAATGAGAAAGTCAGATGGTGGTGGCACATGCCTTTAATCCCAGACTTCAGAGTCAGTGGTTGGGGCAATTCTGAGCCCTAGCAACAAGATGCGTTTATCACCAATCATGGTGCTCTTTGTCTTGCTTTGGGGAATCTCTCTGGAGTAGTTCCAGTGCCAACCTATTGTTAGAGTAATGTGTTCTGGAGTCCCTGAAGAGTTGGTATCTGTTTTTAGGGGTCAAAGAGTAAAGGCCCTGGTAAGAGTTTACAGAGAGCAGTTGGGGGCTTGTGTTACTTAAGTTTGACTCTGAGAGTCATCCCTCCATCCTTAGTTTATGTAACAGTGCACAGTGTGGGTCCAGCTGCTGGAACCGAGTTTGAGCATTGGCTCTGGTAGCTCCCAGCTGTGTGACTTTCTTCAGGCCACACACATTTCTGAGCCAGTTTCCTCAACTATAAAATGGAAATTGGAATTTGTATGTGCTATCAGGGTTATCACAAAACAAAAAATTATACAGTACATCACCCAGGGCTGGGAACATGCTATTGAGTCCCTTTCCCTCAAGAGTGCACACGGACAGGGCTAAGAAGCCGCAGAGCGAGAGGAGGGGCGGTCTTGAGGCGCACCAATCAATCCTTCAGGGCAGGCTGGAGGATGCATACCCAAGTGGTCAAAGCAGCAGAAGAGGAGAACCCTCATGGAGGGAGAAGTGGCAACTGAGCCCAGTGCACCCAAGAGGGCCAGGGAGGTGAAGACTGTGAAGCATCTCTGGTGGCCATGAAGAGCCTAGATGAAGTGCGGCAGATAAAGAAGGCAAAAAGAGCTTTGAGGGAGGACCAAGGAGTCACAGATGCCATTTCCTTTCCATCATGTACTGCTCTAGCAGAAAGACACAGACTGGGTAACTTCTAAACATTGAAATCTGCCCCCCAAGCCCCCAGGTTTGGGGGCTCAGAAATCTAAGACTATGATACTCCTTAGCAGAAGATAGAACAGTCTTGTCTTTTCTTTTTTTTCCCCTCCCTCCCTCCTCCTCTTCTTCTAGAACCTGGCATAGTTCTCTCCAGGCCTTTTCTAGCAGGTATTACTCCATTCATGGAGGAGCCCCCTCATGATCTCAACACTTCCCATCAGGCTCTTCCTCTGAAGCACTGTGGATGCATGCTTTTCAGAAGAATATATTCAAACTGTAGTACTGTCAAAATCAATTATCCAGAACACACAGCTCTGCCTCATTTTCACTGTCAACCAAGCTCAGGCTGAGAATGTCAGAAATGCTTAAGGGCTGTAGGCTCTGAGAGCAGGAAGCAACCCAGGGCGGCATTGCTACACCTGCCCTCACAGAAAGCAACTGTCCACCAATTAGACTATGTTCATTGGCCACAAAGCTCCAGGAATCCATTTGCCTCTACCTCTCTAGCACTGGGGTTCAAGTATGTTTCACCACTACCCAGTGGTGAGACCCCATCACCTGACCCATCACCCAGTGGTGAGATCCCCATCACCTGATCCATCACCCAGTGGTGAAATCTGCATCACCCAATCCATCACCCAGTGGCGAGATCCCCATCACCTGATCCATCACCCAGTGGTAAGATCCGCATCACCTGACCCCATAACCTAATGAGAAGCCAGGCATAGCACTGCATGCTTGAACCCCAGTGCAGAGGAGGTAAAGGATAGTGGATTCTTGAGGTTCTAAGGCCAGCAGCATAGCCCAGTTAGTGAGTTCCAGGCCAAATGAAAGATCTGTATAAAACACACACGCACACACAGAGTGACCAGTGAGAAGACTCAGATGTAAGTAAGTAAAGGCACTTACAGTTAAACCAGATGACCTGAATTCCTCCCAAGAACCCACAGGGCAGAGAGACAATGACTCTTACAAGATACCCTCTGGGGCTGGAGGTTAAGAGCGACAGCTGCTCTTCCTAGAAGACCTGAGTTCAATCCCCAGCACCCACATGGCAGCTCACAACTGTCTAACTCCAGTTCTAGGGTACCTGATAACCAGACATATATGTAGCCAAAACACCAATGCGCAAGTGCACGCAGCATACCCCTCACTCCATCTGCCTCTCACTCAAATAAATGTAAATGTTTAAAAAAGTTAAAAACAGTCTGGCCATGGTGGTACACGCCTTTACTCCCAGCACTCAGGAGGCAGAGGCAGGGGGATCTCATTGAATTCGAGGCCAGCCCGGTCTAAAAAGCAAGTCCCAGGACAGCCAGGACTGTTTACACGGAAAAGCCTTGTCTCAAAAAACAAAAACAAAAAAGTTTAAAACAACCTCTCTATTTAAAAATAAAAATGATAGCTCCTGAAGAGCAATGTCTGGGGTTCATCTCTGCCCACTTGCCTTCAATAGGCACAGTCCTCGGGCAACCTTCTGTGATTGACTCCCTGTGAATGTTTTGTTTTTTCAAGACAGGGTTTCTCTGTGTAGCCCTGCTTGTCCTGAAACTTGCTTTGTAGACCACGCTGGCCTCGAACTCACAGAGAGCCGCTTGCCTCTGTTTCCTAAGGCTACAGTGCTTGTTTTTAATTTTTTTCCCCCTAGCTTGTCTAAAGGCCCAGCCCAGGATTCCTTAGCTTGGAATGACAGGCCTGGGAGGGGCTTAGTGACCAGTCAGTCCACTGCCATAGAAGTCCAAGAAGATACCGAAATCAGAATTTGGTCACTCCGCACACAGGATGTGTGTGCCCTTGGTCTGCCTCGTTGCTACTTCTCCCGCCGAACGGAGGCCCTCACTCGCACCTGGCAAACATGGTACCTCTGTGTTGTAACCCCACTCCCTTTCGCATCTCTGAAACAGGGAAAGGCGGCCAGGTTGGTCGCCAGCTTTTTGTTTTTTAACCAGGGTCGCGGCTTCCCCTTTGAAAACCGGGGGCCTGCCTGCGGTGATTGTCCCGGAGTGGGTTGTATCAAACAGGTTAATGCCAGTTAAGGCCCAGCACTGGGCCAGCTCCTCGTAGGGCTGCCGTGCCCGTTAAACGCTGTGAGAGCCAGAGCTGGCCGAAGGTCACCTCTCAGGGTGCGGTGCGGTGGGTTCCTGTGTCTCTGAGGGGCTGTCCCCATGGGCTGGGTGTGGCCACGCGGTGGGGGCCGCGGCGCCTCGGCCTCTCCACACAGGGCTACTTGCTGGGAGGACCCTTCTCCAGCCTGAGCTCTAGCTAACGTGGCTTTTGTGGCGCTTTCCTGGCCTGGGCTGCGACGACGCCTGCCTGAGGAGCCACCATCGCCGCGCCCTGGCCGCTCCCCACCCTCCAACACTGCGGCGGTAAAATGCAGCACTCGTAGCGCGCCTGCGCAGCTCTCCAGCGCGGCCCTAGCGCGGCTATTTATAGTAGATGACGTCACCTTAAAAAGACCGTTAGGGCTGGGCCGCGCCCCCCCCCCCGCGGCTCGCGGCGGGCCACTCCGAGTGCGCAGGCGTGGTCGCGTCCTCCCCGCCCGCCCGCCCGCCCGCGGCGCCCCCCGTCCTCTCTCGGCGGCTCCGCGGCCCTCGCCACTGCGCGTGCAGCCAGCTAGCGAGAGGGCGCGAGCCGCGGCGCAGCCTGCAGCCTCCCGCCAGCCGGCGAGCCAGTGCGCGTGCGCGGCGGCGACCGGGAAGCGGACGGGCAGGCGGGCGAGCGAGCGAGCCAGCAGGCAGGCGGTGCGGGCGCGCGGGGCGAGGCCGAGTCGCGAGCGACATGGGGGACCGAGAGCAGCTGCTGCAGCGGGCGCGACTGGCGGAGCAGGCGGAGCGCTACGACGACATGGCCTCCGCCATGAAGGCGGTGAGCGCTCCGGGAGCCGGGCGGCCGGGGCTGTGGGGCGGGCCCGGGCCTGGGCGGCGGCTCCCTCCCTGCACACGGCCACCTTTTGGGCGCGGCGGCCGCCGGGCTCTCGGTTTCCCGAGGCCCGGCCGGGGCGGGGTCTCCCCCTCGGAGGCTGGCGGGCAGGGGTCGCCTTATCCTAGCTCTGAGCCCTGGTGGGGGAGGGGGTTCACGAGGAAATCGCGTTCCTGCTTCTAGACCCTTCTTCCGACCTGAGGCGAAACGTGCTTCTCTTCCACCATTCACCCACTTGGAATAAAGAATCCTCAGCGAGTGGGGAGACCCGTCTCCTCGATTTCTCCGCCACGACCTGTTTGCTTCGGTTGCCTGAAGTTGGTTCTTTCCCATTTTCCACACCTCGGGTCTGGCTTTGTGTGCCAAGACCTCTTTCCAGGAGTCCTAGGCGTGATGGAGGGCGTGGGTCCCTGCATACTATCCTAACGTTCAGTGCAGCGTGTCTGCCTGCAGAGGAAATGGAAAATTAAGCCAACCTGGGAGCCTTTGCATTCCTGAGACCCTCATAGATGGATTTTGCAGCTTGATTTCCGGTAAAGGAGACATGCCCAGCCACACCCTAGCAAGTAGATTAGAGCCTACCTGCCTATTCGAGTGTTGGATCTGGTTACCACCTCACTATAGACGACTTCACATACATGCTCTTGGGTTTTCTCTAGGTGAATGTTTCTCCTCAAGGTCACAGTGTTGGAGTGCAATCGGGACTACTAAGTGTCTTGGTGTAAACCTCCTAAGCCTGGGGACAGTTCCCTTGGACTCCACCTTAGATTTCCAAATATGCAAGCATTTTTGGGAGTGAGACTCAGAAATCTGCCTTTTAAACAGCCCTTGGGGCAGTTTTTAGCTGACATAAAAATATATATATATATATATTTTTTTTCTTTTAGCTGACATAAATATTAACTGCCCTAGATTGTAGCTCATATGTCTTATAGCTGTCCTTTGAAAGGATTCTTAAGTAAGATTATAAACTTAGACACTCCTATAAATATAATTTGGAAATTTTCTTTTGATACTACATGAGATATAAAATTGAGGTCAACATTTAGGATTTCCCAGGTAAGAAGGGATAGTCAAGTTACCATCTCTAGTGTCCTGTTACAAATTCAGCAAATGTCTCTGGAAACCAGTATCATGATAGCCCATTTGTTGATTCATTGGTGATACTGATTTCATCATTATGCTATGCTGTCCTGTTTATATAGAATCTTTTCATTTATACCAGGGGATGTTCTGGGTTTGGAGTCTGGACTTTGAAGAAACTGAATTCTTCCGTTAAGAAAACAAAAGTTAAAATACAGTTTTGCAAATTTTTGGAAATAAGACTGTAATCACTAATGTGCTTCTTGAAAGGCACCTCTCTTCACACACCAAGTCACCAAATAGTTCTGGGATTCAGGCAAGTTGAGGCCTCTTCCTAGACACCTGAGTGAGGTCTATGCTCAGGGACTTGAAGGCTGCAGTTTTGGGAGATAAAAATGTTGAAGAGAAAGGATGGGGCTTATATGACGATGAATTAAAACTAAAGGAAAATGGCTGTCATGAGTCTGGAGCTATCAACTATCCTGAGGTGGGAATTAGGAAAGACTAGAGATGTTACCAGAATAAAAGATGGTTTCAGCAAGGGAAAAAAGGCCCTCTGGACTTTCTAAGTGGGCTTGAAAGTGAAGTTGCCTACTTGTATTCACAGATGTTCTCTGGGTCATTAAGGTAACATTTTACAAGCTAATGGATCTTTGAGTGTGTTAGAAATTTATAATCCATATATGAAATGATTCAGGAGTTGGAAAAGAGATTAAGAACTGAGAATTAAATATTTGCACCATCAAATTTGTGATAAAACATTCCCTCAAGTTAAACTATTGAAAAAAAGGGGGAAGCTGTTTCCTACCACAATTAATGTTTGCCACCTAGATTAGTGAGATATATTTTTAGGTAGGTGGAGAAAATTTATTTTGCCTGTTGTAGTTTTTAGATAAAATTTTTAATAAATATTAATAGGCTATCCATTCATAAACTATAATTAAAGCTTTTGGGAAGAGTGAACTCTGGTATACTTATGTTGGGTTTTTTCCTTTTTTTAAGATAGGTTTTCATGTATCCCAGGCTGTCCTCAAACACATTAAGTAGCTGAGGCTGGCCTTGAACTCCAGGTGATCCTGCCTTTACCCATCAAATGCTGGGAGCTGGTGTGTACCTTCCTGCCTGGCTTCCTTCTGGGTTTATGTGGGCTTTTTTTCAGGCAGTGTAAAGGCAGGTGAGTACACTGTTCTAGAGAGGGTGGAACAGGGCATTGGTTTGATGGAATGAGCAGGGGTCACTACTCTGACCTTGAAACTTACATCTCCTGGCTGCAGGATCTCTGAAGTATAAAAGTAGGAATATTGGGGGAAGAAATTACGAATACTGGTGTTAGTAACAAGTCAGTTTTTTGTCTTTAATCTTCAAGATGGTTTTTATTAAATGGTTTAGTCATACTGTCTGTAACAATGTTTCTTAATCCAGCAGCGTCACCTGCAGGACAGTAGTGGTAAACTACTACAGAAGGGTGGAGCTCGGGTGGTACAGCCATTGCCTAGCCTGTCGAGGGTCCCAGTTTTGATTCCCTATCACCCCTGCCCCCATTAGGAATAGTGGTGCTGCTTCAATCAGTTGAAGACCATAACTCTCCCCCCCCAATTCATGAAGAGTCAGCACATGATTCTGAACAAAAGCTTAATTAAAAAGTTGATTTTCAAGCCCTTTCTGATGTCACCTAGTCACATCAATGGAGTGTGGATTCTAAAGTAAGTTTATTAAGTGAGATTAAAATGTTACTGTAGAAGGACAGATATTGGGAAAAAATGAAAGTAACTATGGGATTCTATATTGATGGGTAGATCATTCAGTCACGTCTTATTCCCCTGAGTCATTTATATCAAAAGAGAGATGGTAACTGGGAAGTTGTAAAATGCAAATATACAGTGCTGTACAAAGTTATTAGGGTCTTACTTCAAACCCAGGATCCTCTTGCCTCTGCCTCCTGAGTGCTTGGATTACAGGCATGTGCCACCACATGCAGCTGCTATAGTCTTTTATAGTGTTGGCAGAACAGAGCAAAATGTTGGGTTTGATGACTTAAGTGCAGGAAACAAAACTGTATTTTAGGAAACAATGAGTAGGGCAGGAAGAGGCAAAAGACCCTTACTCTTAATGGCTATGAGATTGTGAGAAGTGGGAAGAGGGGCAGGTGGTGTGTGAAAGGAGAATCCCACTGGATTACTGGGGGAGACACAGTCTTGTTGACTTCTAAGATGCATCAAAAATTGTATCAATATGGAAATTTCTTTTGAGACAAGTTCTCATTGTGTATGTGTCGTTCCCCCCCCCCCCTCCACACCTGAATCTGCCTTGGAACTCCCTAAGTGGGCCATGCTGGCTTCTGCCTCCTGAGTGCTGAGATTGAGCCACCACAAATGTCTACCGTGAAAGCCACTTTAGTTCTGTTTGGAATAAATGAAAACTAGGAGTGTCCCACTTTCCATTAGCTGGGCATTGAAGTGATTCTCTCTTTTCCAGTATCCAAATTGAGGAAGGAAGAAGACATTTAATATTTATGTAATAGCTGTAGTTAGAGGCTATTACTCTATGGTTGGGGTTGGGTAGGAAAGCACTTAGAATCTTAGAATACTCAGGGAAAGAAGTATTTCAGGTGGCAAACAGATATATAGCCTTCCTGCCCTGAACGCAGGACTTGATTTCTGTCTGCATTTGGGTTCCTGAATTATCTTCTGAAAAGCTTTCATGGGAGCAGTATACTCACTTGGGAGAAAACATGCTCTTTTTTTTTTTTTTTTTTTTTTTTTTTTTTTTAGGAGTTAACTGTAGAGACTACACTTTTCCTTTAAAAATATGGTGTGGGCTAAGTTTGATAGTTTATGCCTGTAATCCCAGCACTTGGGAAGTTAAGACTAGCCTGAGTTATGCAGTAAGACCCTGTCTGGAAAAAAAAAAAAAAAAAGTTGGAGGGTTACTTCATTGTTTTCCAAACTCTATTCAGAAAGTGAGGAATTTATTGTTTTACTTAACTAGGTATTCATTAGACGGTAGCTGATAGTTCATGTACCTATTGTTTTTATTTATACTAATTGCCTGGTGCTAGGAATCAATCACACCTCAGGGTCTTGTATATGCTAACCATATGCTCCACCACTGGTTGACTCCCACAGTTCTCATGCCATGTTTGAACAGGAGTTTACAAGTATTATTTGTTGTGGCCCCATTTTACAGATGGGATTTACAGTGGTGAATTTCATCTTGATTAGATGGTTGTGAAGCTAGAATTTGAATTCCCACCTTAACGTTGTACAATCCCCTGTGAAGTTACAGCATAGTTTCTGATATATGTCTGCTATACTAACCATTGTTCTAATTACTTTACATAGGTGGACTTACTAAGCAGTTATACTTACTGGGTGTATCTGCCAAGTTTGATTTAAAAATAGAGTCTACCACTTGTGGCTTAGCTACAGTTGTTGTTCTTTTGATACAACTATTGCCTATGAAACACAAACAGGAGACTCAGTGTCCACAGTGGAATTTATTGAGAGAGGAGAGAGAAAGGAGGGGTAGGGTAGCTGGTGGCCAACCGAAGGCAGGGGGGAAAGAGAGAGAGCAAGAGAGAAAAGGCAAGAGAGAGGCGCACTTGCTTTAAAAGGGAAACTTGTGCATTCGTAACTGAGTCCCCTGGCAGCCAGGTAAGCCTGACATAGCAATGACATGGCCATGAGCACCCCCCCCCCCATCATCAGGGGCGGGGTCAGCAGACTGCTGGTTCCCAACAGCAGTGGACAAGTGTAAAAGGGAAGTATGTAGGTCTGAATGTTGCCTGTTCTGAAAACTAGGAGTGTTAAGAATTGGTTGAATTTCAGTTCTAGTAGTTGTCAGGCTGGGAAGATGACTTAGTTAGTAAGGTGCTTGTACAAATGTGAGGACCTGAGATGGGCCCCAGAAACCACATTAAGAACAGCAGCAAAACATGGTGAATGATGGCTTGTAATCCCAGAGCTGGGGAGGCAGAGAGGGCTCACTGGTCATCTAGACTATTTGTTTAGTTCCAAACCATTAGAGAGACTGTCTTGCAGGGTCTCAAAGATGGGTGTTACCTAAGGAATAGCACCTGAAGTTGCCCTCTGGCCTCTACATACTTGTCAACTGATGTCCCCTGGTGTTCCTCTGGAGGCAGCCTAATGCTAGCATTTAAATGTTCTTCACACTTCTTCCTTCACTGATGTACTGTACTGCTGTGGGTGTTAATGCTTCAGTAATCAGAACTAGACCGGACTTTGTGTCTTCAGAGGCAGTAATGTGCAATAATGCCAGTCGTTGGAGTCATACAGTGTCAGAAGCAAGGCAAAGACCAGTCAATCTCTAATGGTAACGAGAGTCAAA